GGTACAGATTTTCCCACTTTCCCCTTACCGCGTACCAGTTGGCTTCAAGTAACTTTTTGAGATTAAGTTGTGGAAAAATTACCGGAAAATGTATCATTAGCTTAAAAATACTATCCCCTTGTCCTTCTTCCTAAAACATTGCGTCTCTCGGTCCGACATATGAGCCAAGCAGTGCATACTTTTGCACTTAAACTTTGCCTTTAATCAAGTAAGGCGACGTCCTTTCGACCACTCTGCGCCACTAGAAAACTTACAACTTTCCCAATCGGACGAGGGTAGGAAAGGGAGGTGGAAGGAGGGTGGTGCCTTGGTTACTCCAAAACTTGTGTCGAAAAAATCTCATTTGAATCTCTCGAGTGAGTTGGGGACTTTTCTGTCTCGAGCGAAGGACGTTTCGGCTGACAGTTAACAATTACGCAAAGGTAATTGCTCACTGACAGATGCGTGACGGTGATCACCAAACTCGCCATGAAAAAAAGAGATAAGCAGTCTGCAGGGGGATGGAACAGTCGAATGGAAACTAGAGTCAACCCAACCCAACAGCAGTTCAAGTCTGTTGACACCACTCTCGTGCGAAATTTACGAACAGCTGACTGATGGCGTAAGAAGACATCTGTTTCAAAAGAAATTGCATGCATTTTCAACACGCTCAGACAGGATTCTCTACGCAATTATAGGTCGATAGCTGGGATCACCAGCACTGATGTGTGCCCTGGTGGGTGATGTCTGTCTGTCTGTATGTCTGTCTAGCTTCAAAAACAGCAAAGAGCAACGGCTGAGCGCGCCCCACACGGTGCTAGGCTGGGAACGGGGTCACGTAGTCTAGGCTCGAGGCTCACGTGTGACTGGTTAGGGGCAAATCGATTTTCAGGTTAATAACCAAGTCTTAAATCTCAAGCCGGTCGTGGCCACCTCTGATTTCTGCCCCAATAGCATCCTTTTGGGTACTGCGTCCAGGCCTTGTTTCCAACAGACAAATCGACTCAAACTGAGTTCAGTGACGGCGGTTTTCAGACAAGCAGGCTTGGGTTATTAGGGGTTAAACTGACTAACAACCTGAGCTGCCAACTGACACAGATACACCTACAGGAGTGTACGGCCTTTCCTTTAGTGAATAGGTTATAGTAGACACGGACTGTATCCGAGGCGGTGGCAAATAGAGCATGCAAAGCGACTGAGATTCAACCACAACCAGACGAGATAAATTACCGGTCAGTATCGGCTGTGCTTCCCCTCCCCCGACAGTAAAAGGGAAATAGGAACGCCACTTCTCCGTACTACAAGTGGCATTTTCCCATATTTAAGGGATGTTACTTGCTCTTGTAGCCTAACCCTAATATATATATATATATATATATATATATATATATAT